ACTCTATATTGTTTCTGGACATGTGCTGATATGGTCAGCTGTTTCTTGGGCATCTTCAATAGTTAGGTGGCATTTCACTAGTTACATGAATGTATGTTGATGACTGATTATGCTTTCTGATTGCCTCCAGGTAGATATGAGCAGGATATGTGCTTTCCTTTTCACTTGTTTTATTACTCAACTCAGAGTAACTGCAGCAGGTGTTGACTGCCTATCTGGCGTATAGCAGCTGGTATTGGCTCTTGCCTGGATGGTGGGATTTTATAGGGTGTGATTGTAGGTTGACTGTATGACTGCAGTTGCTGTCTCTTCTTGGGTAACATAGGGAGAGAAAGAGATCCTTGGGGGCAAAACAGGGACCAAAAAGCAGAACAGCAACAGCAAAAAACCAGATTGAATACTGTATTCCATAACTGCAGAGAAAAGAAAAGAAAAAAATCTGTAGCAAACTATGAATATGACTTTAACATCCCTCTCTCAGTGTCTTACTTTCAAGGCCGCCTGAGAAATTTCAAGATGTCACTATTAGTCCTTATGACATAACTCAGGATTTAATTTTCGGCCTGTTTCCTTTTTAGTCTCTTTCTCTTTCACTCCACAACCCCCCTTCACGCCTTTTTCCGGCTATAGCCATTTTGGGCACCCGTTTGTTTTTAAGCCATGCCTTTTCCCTTCTTAGATTTTGCTGAGCAGATCCATGCTCATGTGTAGTGGGAAAAAACAGGAGGTGGGGGTGGGTTCCACTGGCTCAGGCACCCCCTCTAGTTAAAAGAGTGGAAGGGCGCAGACAGCGAGAGACCAATGAACACAGAAAAAAAGAACGTCCACACCTTTATCTCAGAGAATTGGTCAGGCATCTGTGGTGGGAGCACTTGTCTGATCCCTCCCCACTCTGTCACTCCCAAGGTGGCCACTCTGGGAGCGGCTGGTTCCGGCAGATCTGAAAACACCAGTTTCCTTGCTTCTGCTATAAATTCCACTGGTTGAAAGCTTTCAAACTTTCTAAATATTCCTTTATATGTAGTTTAAAGTTCTGTGACCATTCCTTGAACCTCCTTTGTCTGGTATTCTGTTATTGCTGGCGGAGGTCCGCATCGCATGTCTCCCTAATCCACCATTAAGCCAAAGTCCACACAAGCTGTTTTTAATGAATGCCTGGGCAATAGAAAACTTTCCTGTGTAGTAAATGATGAAATGATCCTACAGTGCCTGGTGTAGGATCAGCACTGGACAGTGAATCAGAAGTTTGGCAGTTCAAGCTCA